GGGGGGGGGGGTGGTTAGCCTGTAGCCTGTGTCACGCCATGGGTCAGTGGAGAAAAGGGAAAAAGGGGCCGGGAGATTGATAAGCATCCCATCAGTGGGATAGCAACTTTTTCAGCCATTCAATACGAGTGAAATTGGTGGTGTGGGGTCCCTTTGCTCGGGAGCAGACCTAATTTACTTTATCATTCACTACTTCAGCGAATACGCCTTCTCCGCCAGCGTGGAACTGGTTAGCCATATTAGCCGTTCTTCTCCTTCTCCTTATCGCACTGATCCTGCTTGGACTTTATCTACTGTGGAAAAGGTGTAGGGAAGATGCCACAGACGCAGGAACAGGACCAGCTAAGGCGGCAGTGGCTCCTACAGGACACGGGACAGTCAGGCCTTACTCTGCTGGGGCGGGGGAGATGGACAGTACTGACTATGATCTACGTCATTTGATGAAGTACATGTACACCGAGAAGGCTATAGGAAGCTCGGATCTTGAGCATGGCCATGAGCATGCCAATGTTCGCGTGTACAGGGACGATGGTATCCGAGGGACAGACAATCTTCATTTTGACTTAAGGCAATTGACATCTCACAGGTAAGTTGTTGACGTTACAACATTGAAGGGAGACAATTGAACGATAATGAAAACGAGGATATGCGTCACAGCGGTTGGTCGGTCCCTTCGGAAACTCAGAAATTTGCTCGTTGAAAATTATTTGAAATATCGCATTTTAGGGAAGGCGAACGAAAAGTAAGATGGATGAGTGGGAAAGGTATTAAAGCGGTTTCGGATAGCGATGACAAACACTGCCTGTGTTCGGCGAAATCCTTTACTTTTTAACCATCATTCCTATTACCTGTGGCTCTCAATCCTTGCACGTCGTTGTTTTTATCTCGTATCCACGACAAAAGTTGACTTTGTTCCCTTTTCAATAAGAGAGATACTTCAACAACCATATTCAAGACGACATATAAAATTATGACACTGACCGCGTCTGGAGAAACCTTATCCTTCGAAAGTTGGTTGCCGTTTTCAATTCATACCTGACTAATTCTCCCTTCGTCTAACTCTTATAGCGAATTTTAAGGCAATTAGAGGCTGCACAAACGAGCTTTCAACTCAAATATTAGCCTTTTTTTCATAAAAAATTTGAACCGCGCTTTCGGGTTTTCCATATGAGATCAGGTTACTGAGTTATTTCAAAATGGTGGCGTGCACGATTGAATTGTTTTAGACAATTTTCGAGCTGTTTGGTCACTCATTCGGATCTCGAAAGTGATAAAGCGTGAATTCTTAGATACTTTTTTTAACAACTAAGGTAACTGATCTCATCATTCCACTGCAGACATCACGTGATTCAAGGTGGAACGAACGTACATGACACTCATTTAGGAATCGGTAACCAAGGCTTCCACGGTTCAATGCCCACGGTGACGTCACATCTTCATACAAAAATTACACGACACGTGGTACGCGCCGACAGTAATGTGTCGCTGTCACATGACGAAGTGAACTCCTTTGAAGACGAAGGAAACGATTCTGACGTGGATGACTTAAGCGAGATTGGCAGCGGGGACGACGCAGACTGGGACCTACCGGAGGACTCTTGGGAGCATCATTTTGTACGACTTCGTGACGGAAACTAAAAAATGGCATCTATCGACATAATGTTCATTTTTTTATCTGCATTAGATACATTTTGACCTGATTATAAGGTGGTTGACAAAACAGAAAACGTGCAACACATCCTCGAAATACGCAGCAGAATATCGGTCACATTGTGATTTGCTACAAGTTTTGTCCCTAATTCAGTGAACTGTTTCCTGGAATTAAACAATCCGGTCATTAATGATCAATCTCACATTTTTTTCCGTCGAAAAATATGGTGGATTACAATAAAATCTTTGCTCGATTGATATATTTTGCTCATAAAATTCAATTGAATAATTGCGGTCTTGTTATTTACTTGCTGCGTCGCTTGTCAATTTAGCATCTAATCAGCTTATACTGGATTAATTAGACAATTAATAAGTAGAATGTTCAGACTTGGAGCTAGAAAAAGGCAGTCTAAGTCAGGAACGTAAAGTTATCCGAGTTCAATCGTATAATGACGAAGTTTCCTCACTTAAGACCAGAAGCTCACCACATAATGGTCAACCGTGATGAGATTTATGTTGTTTATGAATCGATACATATTTCTGTTGCTGATGCATCGTAGGTGGTTATAGACACGATCTTAAAGGTTACGCTGGAAATGATTCAATTGTCACTTTTGCTGTAGCTTATGGGTAAAAGTTTTTCGCGAGCTGTCGGTGTCATCGCACATCCTGGGGTTGAAGCGCTCATAGGATTCGCAACCACATTCTTGATTTTTGTCGTGTTTTTTTTCAAATAGGATAATCAGTACGGAATAATTTAGTACAGGTTTCTGCTGTCACCAGCAGCGCTGTCAGCACTAAAAAGAGAAGCGATATCGTTGCAAAACTGAAGGCTATAATAACGTTAAGTTTAGTTTCAAGAGCATGACTGATGTAACTAGTTACACGCAAAAATTTTGCAAAATAAACTTGACTTCTGCAGATTGCTTACAGATCGACTTAGTTTTGCTTCCACAGGCCTCAAGAGATAATGCGGAAACAGACAGAGAGGCTTCAGGCCCAGGTTTAGAAACATGTCAATTTTTTTTAAATTGACGTCCGCATGTTGACTTCTTTTTTGTTTCTTTCACTGATACTTGAAGGTTTTCGTCTTTGCTACTTATGTTAATATCGAAATTTCCCCTCTCCTAGCTTCTCGCTTTTGAAAAAATATGGTCTTTTCTTAAGGGAAAAAAACATCTTAGTGATGTAGCGTGTAGTCTTGAACACTGACTTTGCTTCATAGTTCAATATTACACGCGACATTCCTCAGATAATGTCACTCAGCTAATCTGTCTTCAGTTCGACCAGGTTAGTACTGGTAAGAAGCCGACAACTCCCCATATGAGGACAAACATTCATTATAAATGACTAATCTCTATCTGTTAAAATCAAACCATAGGAATCGTCTGATCCATTTTTTCTATTTCAGGGAAAAAAGGATAACAAAAGTAATGAATGCTGAAAGGTCCTTGTGGTTTGGGTTGTTTCGCGGGTCATGCTCTCCGCAAAAAGAACACAAAAAAATACGAATATGATGATAATGACGGCCTAAAAAAATGGAACCGCAAAGAATTGTTCATGGTTACTCTAGGAAGGAGTCACGGTATTATTATCTCCTAAAGCATTAGACAAGAAAAGAACCATTTCCAGCTGTTTTAACGGGTTAATAATGGCTTAAGGAAATGTGAAATATAATGGCAGTTTATCAAAATACCATTTAACTCCTCGAGAAAGCATTTGATGAATTATCTATAAATTCATTGTTTACCTAGACACTTCAAAGCTATGTTAAGCAATCCGTCGTAACCAGTCTATTTTTAATCTTCTTTTGTCTCCTGTCTGCTCCGGGTCAAAATTTCCCTCCAGAAATTTCCAGTTGACGTTTCATTTTTCTTCGCTTTGACGCAGACAACGGATAATTTTTCAGCAACGGTTGGAGAACTTTCCTTATTTGCCGAGAGCTGTCACTGCGTATGACGTCTTTTTTCACGAATTACGTCATAACTGACGATTTTAGATGTTTACAAATGGCATATTGAGCAAAGTTCACTCATCCGGATATCCTGTTTTATTTCGAGAAAGAACTTCCTTAGTTGAACTCATTTCATCCACGATTGAACCGTAGAACAATAAAAGCGCGAGGTAGACTATTTGACTTCAAAATCTGGCCAAATCAAACCAGGAGAGGTAAGAGGTAGATTTTTCTTCTAATTTTTTCAGTTTTAAACACAAATAATTGAGAACCGTTAAAATAAACATGCGCTTTGCATCCTCGATTTGTAAAGCCTCTCTTATATTATAACATCTTCTGCTCTGAACTGTAATTGACAGAGATGCGTGAAATTCACAGCCTCTCAACGTTTGTCGGTGATATCTGTTAAAAAAGGTATTAGTTACAAGATACGTAATCAATGTTGTGTTTCCTGTTTAATGACATTCGGACTTGATTTTAAATCTAGATAGCCATCAAGCTTGACTAGCGTGCTCACTTTCGTTCAGTCGCATGGCTATTAATTTTTCTCTGATTGTTAAATGTAACCAGCCGAAAACAAACAAAACTGTGTGACGTTTTGGGATGAAAATTCCGATTCAAGCGATGTTTGCAATTAACGACAAAGTACAATCAAGGAAAGACAATTACGCAGACGAAGTATTCAGGGTCAAGTAAGGATTAATGAGGTTGAATACATGAAGCACACCGCGATTCCTGGAAATGCTAAGAAACCGAACAGTTGTTAAATTTGGACACAAATGAACACTTTTGAATTTCTGGAAAAAATTGGGAAAAAAGGGAAAAATATTTGTCGTAATTCAGCAAGATTTATAGTATATGCACTCTTGGGGAGTGGCAATTGAATTGATCTTGGAGCCAACGACGAAACTGGGTTTTATAATAGTCAAGCTCGAAATAATTGTTTGTCAGGGTGAGCAAACAATTAACAGGCTAGAAAAAGACAAGAATGAAACAGTGATCGTCATGAATGATAAATATTTACATGGATTGCAAATAACGAATGACAGATGATTTTTTTTTTTTGAGAAAGTTACAACTCCATCAAAAAGATATTCAGCGATAAAGAGAATCTTGATGCTCGATCACATCGATATATTGTCTCGTTAGAGAGGTTTAAAATACTTTAACAAAAATATTGTAATAAATGATTCATTTTTTTACCATACCATTAAATTCATAAGCTTCATATTCTATCACGCCTGTCCTGTCTGTTAAACTTCGAACTCATTAGCTTGCATGTCAAACCCAGCCAGACATAAATGTGTTTAGCTAGTGGCTGATACAAATTCAGTTTCCATGGTCACTTATTACATGGCCGGAGACTGTACTTGACATCTATTAGACATGCTCCTTTCACTGACATAACGCCCACGACATTACAACAGCCCCTGCGCGAAACATAAATTCAGTAGCACTCAACTGACATAGGGCCCAGCCGTCGCATGGCAGTGTGTGAAATGATTTTTAAAATGTATGTTTGTCTACGTTAAAGGTGGCACACTTCGCTGTAAGTATTGAGTCCATTTTGATTGTATTGTATGGAACAAATATTAGTTTCCTAAGAAATTCAAATGCTGATCGTGTGGTCGTACACAGGATGAGGCAATTATAAGATTCAAGATACATCTGTTGCAAAGGCCATATAAGACCGTCGCAAAATAACAAGCATATTTCAAAATTGGGTGGTCCAACTCTCCCTATTTTCAATTCGTAATTAGTATGTTTGCTTGCGTGTTTGTGGAACCCTCGTGAAGTCCTTCCAGATAAAAAACTCCATTCATTACCCGGATTACGGTTACGCAAAGCCAAAACGCAAACCTTGATCGTGCAACTAGGCATGAATTTTCCGATTTTAGCTAACTCTGTTTTTTTCTTGTCTAATATCCTAAATGGCTTAGAGACAAATTGAATTGAGTTATCTTCGTAAGATGGTTTCATGAGGATTAAATAGGAATTATAATTTAAGCAAAGAATTATGACGACTTCGAGTCGCAACAGACAGACTTCAACTGAAGTGGAGCAATTCGTCACAATGGTTTTGAAACAATCCGCGCAGACAGTGAAACAATCAGTCATGAAAAAGTAGCCACTTGAATTCCTACGGCAGTTCACTGATTGGAAAGCATCAGATACTCTTTCTCTTCCTTGCAAAGCAGTCTACGAATTTTTTTGCGCAAGCTCAGCGTTAAAAAAAAATATCTGTTTGCATGGCTCGAGTGAATTGTAAGTAAACCGACAGCGGGGAATGTCCTTAACGGAACGACTTATTTGGCTTTAGAAACCTATTTTTGCGTTCTGTATTTTTAAGTGTAATTCAAGCACGTTTCAGGGTGTATGGAACGTCATCATTTATTCCTTACAGCCGGCAGTGACCTGCTAATAAATTTTAGGAGTTCCTTTTGCTAACACAACAATCTCCAATTAATGTCTTTAAATCTTCTAAAAGACGTTTAGAAATCTGGAAGAAGGTTTCTTTTGTACAGATGTATTGTCGGCAGCTATTTAACTGAAAATCCAATAAACAATATTTACGTCTACTGGACTGAACGGTCTCGGTAAGTAGAACGGCTGAAATAATTGCGAGATTTTTCAGAGACAACGGAGACCTTTTTTTCCGGGGCGAGACGAGGAATAATACTACCCACTGAAAGTGTCATCCAAATGCTGACCGTATCTTAAACAGGCCATTCTTCACACTTCATTTCAGAGCTTGCCTTGGAAAATTGTACTTGGTCTGCGAATCCATTGCGCTTTGTTTTTTTTGGTAAATCTTCGACGCTGAACTCTCAAATCTGTAAATTAACACCGAAAATTCAGCTGGAATGGTTCCCTCATTTATTTGGGGTTGGAAAAGACAGATAGTTTTCTCGAAAACCACGCACGACTTAAGAACGCAATGTTTAAAATCTAAACTTCCTATTTTGTACCGAAACAGCTCAAACCATACCTTTTAGAGGGATACATACTTGTATAGCACACATTGAGAAATGTTCCCCCCGCTCCATCTGAGGGCTAAACAAGGATATTCAATCTCACTGTACAAGTTCCTTTAATACCAAGTAATGCTAAAATCTTATTGGATTAGCGCCTCTTACGCTATCAGCCTACTATAATACCATTTCGATACTGAGTAATGATAAGCTCTTATCATCTAAAAACCTAGTTGGTTTTTAATTTTTGTTGTTTTTGTTTTTTATTTCAATTTAGTATGTTCTTAATCGATACATAAGGGTTGTCTCTTTGACACGCTAATTAACAATATCA